AGGGTAATGTAATCAGTTTGACATTTAATAATTAAAAGAAGTACAGTATATTTTAACACAGAGAACGGAATCAGTGCTAAGGCACGTGAGAGTTACCATCTGAAACTTAGTCCTTACCTAACTCACTCTGGCATTTCTGATTTTTTTTTTCTTTCCTTCACCCTTGATTTAGCTCCCCCCAACACCATCTGAGTGTGTTACACGAACCTAGAACTTTACAGCTAGTAGCCTATCTTGTTCTGTTGAAGCGTAATTTGTAAAACCAAACATGAATAGGCAAGAAACCCAGTATTTGGTACAGAAATAAATATCCTTATTGTTTTCCTTTGCATTACCTTGGGTTATTGGGTAGTTTTGAACTGGGGTGCCTATAAACATTTGAGAACTTGGGGTGTGTCACAGGTGACCCCCCCCCTTTTTTTTCTGCAAAGACATCCAGAGCGTAGTCTTTTCTGGAGAATAGGTTTTCTCTGGTGTAATCCTCAGAGCCAGAAAAAGAACAGTGACAAGTATACGAGGTGCCGAGTTCTCTCAGCTGCTTCTGCGCCTGGGGGAGGGACTATCCCAGAGCTTGACGAGAGGAGAGGCAGAGAGGGCTCTGTGGAGGTGGGAACGTGCACACATCTGGGACAGTGGGCTTGCCACATTCGCACTCTTCCAAAGAGAAATAATTGGTAGGTGCCGTTTAAGCACGTATATACTTAGGGAAAATTACCCGCTGAGCTTGGCTGAGTACTGCATAACCACTGAGCCCCAGCCTCGCTCAGCTCCTGCCCCGAGATCTTACAGCAGTTGACAGCATGCGGATTACTTCATAAGTACCCCTAATGGCTGGTGTGTGTACTTAACATTGCTATAAAAATAGGTCTCCGAGCTGCTGAGGGTCACAGTGGGGGATCAGTGGGCGCGGTTAACTCTTGCCTGTACATTAAAAATTAACAAACAACCTCTCAGTGATAACACAAATGAGGAAGAAATGGGCTTTTAAATCTAAAGAAAAGGCATTTTAATTCATTCTCTTCTACAGTATGTATGTCCGTGGAATCCCTGCAGTGGACGGTGGACAGTAAGGGACCCTGATCTAGACATATTCATCTGTCCTTTGGTTTCTACATAGCTCCAGGATTGCGTTTTCTTCCTCTGCTAAGGGGCCTTCATTCCCACATCCAGGGTTAATGCCCATTGATTGATGCCCGCTGTAGCTATGGGAGGTGTCACTCAGAACAG